GACTAAGCTGAAGGAAAGTGAGTGAAAAAGAACTTTATTTTTTATAGTGCCTTTAAAAGAAGCATCTCAAATCACATCCATATAAAAAGTACATAAGTAAAAGATAAGTATGTAGACATAAGTACATAAGTAAATAAGTAAAAGATAAGTAAGTAGACATAAGTACATAAGTAAATAAGTAAAAGATAAGTAAGTAGACATAAGTACATAAGTACATAAGTAAAAGACACACTGTAAAAAAAAAAATTTGTTTGCTTTACTTTAAAAACAATGGGTTTACTCATTTTCTTTAAGCGATTACTTAAAACGTGAGTAAACCCATTGCTCTAAAATCATTATGCAAATGATTTATGTTCATAATTAAGTTAAATCAACTTACCAGTTACACTGTAAATTATCACAACTTAATATTTTAGTTAAGTTAAATTATCTGGATTGAATGTGCTGACAACCTAATACCAAAGTTTTATTTCGCTGAACTTATTATACTCAAATAAGAGTCAGCTGAACACAAATATATTTGTTGACTTCGTTTAACATCTGGGGCCTCATGTACAAAGTATTGCATTAAATTCATTCTTAAACATTGCATTTGCACAAAGCTGTAAATGTGCGGAATCCCACGCATATTCTCTTTGTACATTAACGTGAAACTGAGCGCACGAGCGCAAAACCTATTGCCTCCTCCCCCTAATAAATATGGAAATGACTCTATTTTGGCAAAACCAAATGAAAAAGCAAAGGCAAAAGCAAGCAAGAAGAGAAACTTCACAGAATGTGAATTGAAAACAATGTTATTTGCAAGTTTTTCCACCGGAATAAATAAAAAAAGAAAAAAAGAGTGGGAGAGTTTAGTTTAGATAATGCGGTTAACGCAGTTGGGTCTGAACATCGCACTGTGAGTGAATTAAAAAAGAAATGGTCCGATGTAAAGGTGCAGGTTAAATGGAAAACAGCAGCGCACCGTCAAAGTGTGGACCGAACAAGCAGGGGAACAGGGGATGCTGAACAAACACCCTTTGAGGAGAGAGTTGCCTCAATTATTGGACTTTACTGTTTGGTGTAGTATCCGTGTCTGTGGGCAGGGCCAAATTAACCAATGGGCATTAGGGGCAGAGGCCCAGGGGCCTGTGTGCACTTGGACGGCTCAAAGATACTTTGTATTGTGCAATTTAACACAATGCCTCTAGAAATATAGAAATAAATCAAAAACACACAAAAAAATACAAGTAGGCTAGACATGAAGATGGCGTAAACCATCGTTGGTAAATCCAAACGTGAGCGTGAAATCTGGTGTAGGCAAAGTGTTTTTGCGTACACATCGTTAATACATGTGGACCCTGAGCTTTAATTATGTGCCAATGAAAATGAATACATTTTTAATGTTGTACATCTACTTTAAGATTTTTTTGTAAGAATTTTTAATTATAATTAAATTATTTGAATTATTATGAATAAATTTTTAATAATTAAATTTTATAAAAATAAATGTTTTAAGTAAAGTAACTAACTGTGTTTTACAGTGTACCTGAATTAACTAAACAATAAAACAAATTAATATTTAAAATAACATTAAAAATTTTTTTTAAATCACATTAAATTTGATTTAGTTTGACAGTGTCTGGGAACGAGCTGCCTGTCCATTTCCTCACAGTCAATGAAATCCTCCTGCTGTTACTAAGCAAGAGGCATGACAGAAAAAAAGAAGTGCCTTGGGGTGACAGGATCGAGATGACATATCATAGCTGCACTCATCACTGCCATAACGCACTGTTAATCCAAAAAGTTACACTACAACTTTGCTATTGTGATCATTTGCAAGCACCGCCAAGCATCATACGGAAGTTCTTGGAGTGTGTTTGGGCCACAAGGTCAAACATCTTACAATGCACAAAACGATGCTCTCACAGGAGCTCGGCATAAGCTGGTATTTATAGCATGTCTATGCTTAACTGCTTAATTGGCTGGGGAGTTTTCTCAAGTGCTTCTACAGACTGTAATCAGCTGCTGATTGTAAGGTTGCATTAATCAAACTGCTCTCCACCTCCCCAAAGTAAAAACCACAACACGTTTGCTTAGTCATAATTTATACAGTCCTCTTGTTATACCCCACGCTTTGCCAATGTCTGGCACAATACTTAGTCGGTGAGTGTTAGGATCATTAGGCAAATCAAGAGCAGCCATTATACTCTTTCTGGGTTTGATTCCCGGTAGTTTTTGCAGCAGATTTGCCTCTGAAACATGACATTTCTGATTTGAAGTGATTTTTATATTAAATTTCTGTCTTCATCTCTGTCCTTGATGCTGTTTTAAGCCTGTATGACTGCAGAACATGACTGTATTGAAACTGTTACCAAACATGTATTGATCTTTTATGTTACACATCTGAAAATGTCCATAGAGGTTTAAAACAAAATAAGGGAGAATAAATTAAAACCAAACATTCTGAATTTGAGTAAATTTCCCTTTTTTAATATATGACCCTGTCTAACAAAAAAGCTAGGCATATTTTTGTCAATGGGAAAAGTGTTGTATGGGTGTCAAACTTATTGATTTTTCTTTAATGCCCAACAAAATCATTAGATATTAAGCATAGATCTTGTTTCATGAGGAAATATAGACAGATAAATATATAACTTGGGAAAATTTATTTTAAATTAACAGAAGGGCTAAAAAAAAAAGACTTCAGCTGTAGTTGACGGGTGCAAAAATGTGCCTTGATGCATTGAAATGTAAAAAAAAAAGAAAGAAAAAAGTAATGGCACTACAAAAGCAAGTTACTAGTCAAATAAATTAACAAGGAAGATTAATTTGAGTTTATGTTATAAAATTAGATGAAAAAAATATATTTTAAATGGCAATTTTCTCAATATTATGATTTTTGAATGGAATAAAGGCGCAAGATGTGTTCAGTATGGCACAATTTGCTGCTATTTTTAGAACAATGCAACCCTAATTTCCCTGCTTTGTGCCACGTTGTTTAAATAGCAAATCCATTTGTGTCGCTTTGCGAACTCATGAATGTTGTGGTCTAGAAAAGAGCTGGGTTGGGGCGCATTGTTATCCAGCTAAAACAGACTGCACAATAGACCAGCTGAAAGCTGTACAGCAATACACAAATATCTTTACAAACGAAAAAGATTTAAAGGATTAAAATGTTACAAAAATTATTAGTTTCTTCATAAATATAAAAACCACTGACCTCCCTGCTTTCATCTTAGGGGGCTTTTACAGTTTATTCATGACAATTTCCGTTTTAATAATGTTATTGTTACTAGCAGTATTATTTATTATATGCATATTTATATTTGTTTTAATAAAAAAAAAAAAAAAAAAACAAGCTTAGATTTGTCCACCTGTCGGGTTTTGGACCATATGGGGCATAGGACGCATGTTTGGATATAACTCGGTTTCTTCACAATTTTTTATGATGTTTTTATTGTTCATTTTCTGAAAATTAGAACTGAATTTAGAAATAGTTTTAAACAAATCTTTGTGTTTCACAAACAAAATTAAATATGTAGGCCAGGGGTCACCAATCCTGGTTCTGGAGGGCCGGTGTCCCTGCAGGGTTTAGCTCCAACTTGCCTCAACACACCTGCCTGGATGTTTCAAGTATACCTAGTAAGACCTTGATTAGCTTGTTCAGGTGTGTTTGATTAGGGTTGGAGCTAAAATCTGCAGGACACCGGCCCTCCAGGAACAAGTTTGGTGACCACTGATGTAGGCTAATGGATGTCTTCAGTGCATACACCGTTTCCTTACTCCACAAGGGTAAAGGAGTAAAGTAAAGGATAACAGTAAAGGGAAAGAGAAAGTAAAGGATGCCGAATGGAAGAGGCTCATTCTTTAGTGTCACACTGCAGATGATCTGTTTAACTGGTTTTACACCAGAAGCATTCAGTTTTCCCCTTACAAAGTCCATCATGTAAATAGCAAATGTGACATGGCGTGACACAGCTGACTCTTAAAGGGATTGGGAGATGAGATTGGTTTACATATGCACATTATTTTCAAAAAACACCCATAACTTATTAAGAGAATAAATACAACCCTGTTAGACCATGTGCCAGGGGGCAAACTGTATTTTTTTGCCCTTAAAATAGCAAAAGTGGACTGAAACACACCTTTATTGTTTTGCACAATATGCTTTAGACTTTGCGCCTAGATCGTTAAAATAGAGCCCTAGAATTTGAAATTGTAGCATTATGGCCAGATATTGTCCTGTCTTACCAAACCATGCATAAACAGAAATCTTGTTTATTAAGCTTTCAGGTGATGTGTAAATATCAATAAAAAAAAGACACTTATGATTGGATTTGTGGTTCAGGGTCACATGTTAGAAAAAACAAGCAAACAAACAAATGGAAGCTGTTTATCCCAAAAGCACCGTAAGCCCAAGTAAGAGACCACCGCTGCAAACGATTACAATCTACTTTAGACTTCTAATGCTTTAGCAAAAAGAAAAAAAAAAAAGAATTTATTCAAATGGATTTGAATATTCATTGATACCAAGTGTTAAGGGAGGAAAAATATCCATGACAAATTATATCTGATAACCAAAAGAGCGCATTTCTAAAATATTTTTCAGTACATTACTTTCCTTTGAGTCCAGATTAGCATTCCAAGAGGTTATACATATTGCATATCGCCATTAGAGATTTATGTTTGTCTATGTCTTGTCACACTTGAGAAATGACTTTTAAAATCTTAAAATCTTGCTTCGGGCACATCTAATCACCAGAGCTTTTCCCCTCAGTACTGCTCATGGACACCAACATGCTGTTATATTCCTCCTATGAACGTGTAAAGTCTTCAAGCACTTTCTTGCAGTGTTTGTAGAAGCTAAATCACATTACGTTAGGTGTTCATAAAATATCTTAGCGTCAACACTTTTTTCTGACAAGGACAAATTTCCCTTATGCTTAATTCTCTAGTCACAAACAGAGACAACTGGATTTCAGTTGATAACAAGAGAATGACTAGACAAGAACACATACCATCTCTTCTGTTGAGTTTAGCGTAGTGCGGTGACCTTCTGTCAGAGTATTTTGATGAGTTCCTGAAGGAAGATGTGGGTAGTGATGTCAACAGCGGCTCTTCACAGTAATCTGGATAAAAATAGAATGAAAAACGGTTCAAAACTAATTAACAACTTTAATTGTAGTTCAGCTCTGTTTTTTTAAAAGAAAAAATAGCTAAGGGTTTAATTTGTAATTATTACTATGTAATTATAAATGATATCATGGTCAAAAATGATACATTTCCATTTTGGAATTTGCATAAATTACAATTTACAGTACACTGCAAAAAAAAAAAAAAAAAAAAAAAAAAGATTTTCTTAGATTTTTTTTGTCTTGTCTCTAGTCCAAATTTCTACAAATTCTTAAATCAATTTGCATTTTCTAGACAAGCAAAAATATAGTCTTGTTTTCAGAAATAATTTGTCAAAAAATGATTTCTTCCTTAAAACAAGCAAAATAGTCATTACATTACATTACAGCAGACTCTCACTAAAATAACTTACTGTAACACAAGTTTATACACCAATTGTAGGTATACCAAGTCAGAAATCTTTAGTATTATTTGATGACATATTATAATACTGTCTTTAAGGATCACAGTCCAGCCCCAAAATGTATTCATTTTATATTTTTATACTCTGAAAGCCATCTGGCAAGATTATCCAGTTAAACTCTGCTCCGGGATTTCCGCCTGGATTTTGCCTACCCAAATTTAAAAGCTTCCGAAATCCACATGCAGAGGTGAAAATGCACAAATTTGGTATCATTTTAAAGAAAAGCCTTTGAATTTTCATAAAAAACTATTAAAAGGTGTCTAAAAAACTGTATATGTTGTCTGTGTCATAATAAACACCTATCATATTTCACTATTCTTTTGTTTGATCAAACATAATTTACTGTGTTTGGACCACGTCAGACATATAAAAGGATTACTTATGCACATCACCTCAAAAACAGAGTAGAAATGGCCCTGAAGCGCACAGCATAAGGTAAGAGATGACAGCTGTCTGTGCAATCTGGGGCTGCTTAGTGATCATAATTGTATTGTTTTCACTTCTGCACTATGAAAACACAGCGATTCATTCGGCAACTGTTCGATATGCGAATATAATTCAGTAAAAAGAATGCTAGAACTGTATGAGCACCGGCAAGAGCTTTCATTTGAGCTATAACTTGTGCATGTGTCATATAAAAAATATGAAAATTAACCAATGTAAAATACCTAGCTCGGGTATCCAAAACACTGTGTATTTAAGTGTAAATAACTTTTGTACAGTAGAATAAAAACTAAAGTGATGCATATGTGCATAACATACAGTTGAAGTCAGAATTATTAACCCCCCTTTGAATTTTTCTTTCTTTTTTAAATATTTACTAAATTATGTTTAACAGAGCAAGGGAATTTTCACAGTGTGTTTAATAATGTTTTTTCTTCTAGAGAAAGTCTTATTTGTTTTATTTCGGCTAGAATGAAAGCAGTTTTAAATTTTTTAAAAAGCATTTTAGGGACAAAATTATTAGCCCCTTCAAGCAAATTTTTTTTCAGATAGTCTACAGAACAAACCATTGTTATACAATAACTTGCCTAATTACCCTAACCTGCCTAGTTAACCTAATTAACCTAGTTAAGCCTTTAAATGTCACTTTAAGCTGTATAAAAGTGTCTTGAAAAAGATCTAGTAAAATAATATTTACTGTCATCATGGCAAAAATAAAATCAATCAGTTATTAGAAATGAGTAACTAAAACTATTATGTTTAGAAATGTGTGGAAGAAATCTTCTCTCCATTAAATAGAAATTGGGAAAAAAAATAAACAGGAGGGTGAATAATTCAGGGGGGCTAATAATTCTGACTTCAACTGTATATATTCTACACTTTTAAACGAAACCACTTAAGGGGGTCTGGTGCATTGCTAGCCCTTTAAATGTTAAAGCGAAAGTCGATGACATCACGGACCAAGTACCGGGTCCGTGGAGCAACTGCTTATTTAATCATCTAAAATTGAAAACAATCAAGTGTGAAAAAATGTCATATATTCAATAAGTATGTTCATGTGTATTGTTTGTACATAAAATATACTGTATATAACTTTTTCAAAATTATTTTACATGAAAAATAAAAACATCTTAGATAATTTAAGCAAGGTACAAAGAACAAATTACTATTGTTTTAATGCTTGAAAACTTTGTGCTGCTGATCATTATAGACATCTTTTTACGAAAGGCAATTTACTGAAATGAGAGTTTCAGCTCATTAATGGAGTTCAAATCGGATTCTAAAACACCACAACCCTGTCTTCATTACAATGATGCAATCTTATTGTGCAGAATGTGATGTAAAGACATCTGCTCCTCGTAAAGACGGCCAGTTTGTGAGAGTTAATTGAAGTCTTGAGCCTTGCAAGCTGTCACATGTACAGTACAGTAGTCTGCCTTTCATCTGCCAGCATTGTCAGTGCCAGTCTGTCATTGACCCCAGTCTGTTTTTTAAAGAATTCACTTCAGCCCGTTTCATCTTTGAAAGTGTCAGGAGTTTCATACTCATCCTAGATCTCGAGAAATATAATAGGAGTCAAATCCGAAGCAGGAAAAAGTAAGGTTCAGATGAGAGAAATTCTGATATTGGCAGAGCACCAGCTGAATCAGACTGCTCATTCAAATCTTGTCAGTTCATCAAAGCAGTGGTAATTTCAGCCTTTTGAGTTTTTCCTCAGTGTACTTGACAAGAATATTCATTTACTAAAGGTCAAGGCTCTGTTCCGTTTGGATCAAAAAGACTGAAAAAGCATTTCTGCGGTTTTCACTCTATAAAGCACAGCATCTACAATCAATTACAAACTGCATTTTCAAATACAGTATCATAGTGTAAAAATGCTAAAGCATGCAACCTTGTGCAAAAAAACAAAGACTCAATGCAAAGAAGTAGAGCTGCGCAATATATCATTCCAGCAATGTGATAATTCCCAATCATCACACTGCAGGATATGCAATATTGGGTCTGGATTATAATTGATCATTTGCATGTGTGTTTTTAATGCCCATGACTGTATGAAGATGTTAAAGCATTCAAGCCTAAAACATTGTGCGATTTGTAACAAGAATAGCTATTAAATAATTCATCAGCTTTGTCTCTGATTTATCAGAGTTCGCCATAGTTGAATGAACCACCAACTAATGTTTTACACAACAGATGCGCTTCCGGCTGCAACCCAGTATGGGGAAACACCCATACACACAGTCATAGACTACGACCAATTTAGTTTACCCAATATTGGTTTCACTTATACTGCATATTAGGGTTGGGCGATGTTGACCAATTTGACATCGTACAATGTCTAATGTGAAACATCGCGATGGACTATGGTATCTTCATCATTTGAAAAGCAGGGGGAGGGGTTTGGGGGGGGGGGTGTAGGTGTTTGATAGAGTGTGTCTGAAGAGCAAGAAGAGATCTGGGGGTGGGGTGAGAGGGTGCGCAACTTATTTGAGAACCAGGAGAGAGACGTGCGATTTCCAGAAGATTATCACTCGTTTGCGGGCATTATGAGTCCCGCAAATGCATAGAGACTCCCGGAACTTATGGGAGACTTGGGATGTCTGAATATCACGTTTAATAACTATAGTGAGATGTGATCCAGTGGTACATCCTTGATAAACTGTCCGATGTGCACTGCTCTCTGCCTGGAACTGTTCATAGACGATGGCCTCGTCTATCAGCCCGACCCTACTGCATAACTTTGGACTGTGGGAAACACCGGAGCACCTGAAGGAAACCCACTCAAACACTCTTGCCAACTGGCCCAGCTGGGACGCGAACCAGTGACCTTCTTTCTGTGAGGTGATAATGCTAACCACTGAGCCACCATATTAAATTAATTATAGGGGGAAAAAAAAGACCATGCAGTATTATTTTACATTTGATTATTCCATTACTGTACCAGAGCACTGTTAGGCTTCTCTGGAAATATTAAAACACTGTTTATTTAATTTGCATCTTTGAGTTTATTGTGTTTATCTATGCCTGTAGATTGTTAAATTTTACGCAGATGTGCTTTTGTTAGGACTGTGTTGTTTTGGTTTGTGTTTTTGTATCTTTTTTGTCTGTTGTAGGTTGGGGCATGAATTCAGCACACCTGATGATTGTCATCGCTTCTATTTAAACGCAGTGCGAGAGTTTGTCATGGCCGCTGTTTCTTTATTGTTTGTCTAGTTAGCCAGAGCAGCTCAATTTGTGGCATTATGTTTTGCTTTGCATCCAAGCTCTAGCACTGACGACACTTACTGCATCCATTCATTTGCCTGTCAAACTGAATAAATCTACTGATACTGATGTTTTGAATGTTATTTTCAATTGTGTTAAAATAAATATTGTTTGACTTTATTGTTCTGTGTCATCTGCCTTAAGGTGTAACATATGGGGGCTCGTCCGGTATCCCTTACAGGATCTTCCCAATCAATCTAAAAAAGATAAATTCTTTCACAAAGAGATATACAAGTCATTCATTTATTTATTTTCCTCAGCTTAGTTTCTTATTTTTCAGGGGTTGCCACAGCAGAATGAACCACCAACTAGGGCTGTGCGATATGGGGAAAATATCTATATTTTATAGTAAATATCTATTTTATAGTCAAGATTTAGCTCAATAATCTGTTACTAGAGTGAGTGTCATTGATAATATTATCAGTTGACTTTTTAGCAAGACACTCATATACTGTAGCTGCCCTTGGTGCTTTTTTAGGTGCTGGTTATTGTATTTCCTCGTGATGTGTCATCAATTCTATGACGGCTTTTACAAATTACCTGTTTTTTCAGTGTGTGAGACTTTGAGACTGAAATTTTTAACCAGGACTCATTCTGATCTGAAAATGTAGTCCCGTGGACATTTCTTGAGACTGCGAAATACGTCCGGGGAGGTACGTATGGCTGCATTTAATTTTTTTTTTTAAGTGAACGCTACAAGGCAGTATGACGCCATTTCCAGTTTCGCGAATCCAAAAAATAAAGTGAATGAGTTCATAAAAGGGTGAGAACGTGGTAAAATCCGAAAATGTGGTAAATAAATCAGACAGGGCTTTTTTTTTTTTT